CTTAGTAGATAGGGTGACGCGAGACGGACAAAGCCTCATCATTTGGTCTCCAAAAAGCCATTCTGTGGAGTAAAATATCCTTGGACAAATGATGAAAGATTCTCGCATAAATAGTTGAGAATTATCAAAGTGACAAGCCAAAGGCACTAAATGCGCAAGGAAATAATACTCTTCATGCTCTTCAATGGCAGCAACTACGACAATGACCCACTGTAACAGCAGCCAACATCAAATTGACTCACACACACACAACTTCATGGAAAATCGAAGAAACTGCCAATGCTAGATTAAAAGGAGGGGGACAAATGGAAACGCATTATTGAATTGTCGAGTACGTGCAGAGGTTAAAACCACTTTATTAAATCCTCTCCTTTTAAAATACGCTACCGAGTTTGGGTAAAAACGGGACTCACCTGCTCACCACAACACTACGACGAAGAACGGCTTCCTATTCAAGACTTACTGACTTTGCCACGGCGAAGCTCTAGCCGCATCCACTTTGTCAGAGTCCGCACTTCAACCGAGGTCTCATTCAAAGGAACCAGCTGGCAGATATACGAACCTGCACGTCTCCGCGACATCGTAAACGCCATTGTTACAAGTACACTCTCGAGTCTCTTCATAGCTAGGTCACAAGTTGTTTTCTAAAAATGACGACATGGAGAGAGAGAAGGCAGTAATTTGACACATCTCTTAACCTCAAAACCGCCGCTATTTGAGGGACAGATCTTTAAATTCCCCCTCTCATGGATGCAACTTTCGATGGAAACAGACTGCAAAGTCTACACGCTGCCATCTTCGACCATTTCATGTTGAGTATAAAAGTCAAGTGGCTTAGCGTCTTTGCATCCCCAACCTCATCCACCACTTCGAACCCCCAAGCGATAAGAAAATGCGTTCTCATAGCTTTGCTAACAACACTGAAACTTACATTCACAACTTCGCCGAATCTCTTGTGAGCATCCCGAAGGCCATCAGGGACTAGGAATTGAGTTGAGGCGGCCACCTCAACTTGTGCCCTGCTCAGCTTACTCTCCTCCACAAAGGAGATAAGCACTGTGAAGCCACAGAAGGGCCGTGGTCCCATAAAGTACTCGCACTGAAGATACACCTCAGCACCCTCCACAATGCGATTTGGAGTGTTGAAGACGAGACTGCCAAGGCGGAAGGGTGGAGGGTGCAGGAGAACTAACAGAGAAGGAAGCAGAAATCCACCGCGCATGACCATCATTGACATCAA